CAAGTGCATGCTTCTTGAGCAATAATATGGAAATACAATTTTTTACGAAATTTGTGAAAAATGCAAAGGTATAGCCTTTGAGATTTTGACGAAAAATTAATTTTTTTAAGAGTTAAAAAAAGCGTATTTTAAAGCAAAATTAATTGTAAAACATCCGATTCTCTTTATTTCTTAGAAAAAAAAACCAAATAAAAGTCGTTACAACTTGATGAAAAATGTTATATCGCAAAAGAAGCCCAGAAAAGGCGAATTTCTCTCATTCAGTATAGAAAGACAGTTAAAGAGAGAATGTATATGGAAGGTAGCCGTAATAAAATTTTAGATTTTAGAAGCTTAACAGGTCCATTTTATTTATTATCCTTTCAGTAAAAATCACAATCTTATGAATTCTAAACTAATTTTCACTCAAATTCGTAATATCGCTGTACTTTAATTGTTTGTGCTTCATATTCCAAATAACTGTTTAATCTAGATTAATCAGCTCAGAAGATTATGTACATTCTCTCACCACTTCAAATATTCTTCACGAATGTTGAAGTGAAAGCTGTTCTGGCTTTATTTATAACTAAAAATTAGTGTTTTCATTTAATTATGAAGTACATAACAAAATAATAAACCAATGTCTGAAGGTCAGAGAAAATTAATCTAGTGACCAGTACTGAAATGTTTTTCTAAAGACCCAAGTGTGCAGATGTGGGGAGGGGAGGATTATTCTATTTATATTTCAACCAATAGATGGAAAAATGTCTTCAAAAAATTAATAACCATTTTCTGCAACTCTTATACCATTTCTTCTGCTACAAAGCTTTTTTTTTCCGCATTAGTCTCTTTGGATTTGCTTTTAACTCTTTAGGGTGTATAATTAGGTGCAACTTTAAAATGGGTTAAATTCTTTATGTATTTATGGTGGCAAGTGAAGATTGACTGTTTGTTTCCCCACCTTGTGTGTTGAAAAACATTTTGCTCCCAATTTTTTCCACAAGATCTCTCTGGGTTCTGAAGAGATTTTTTTCAGCTCTAAGAAACAAATTAAATCAGCATCACTACAGTATGTTAAGCAGTCATCTTTGTAAGCTCTCAAAATGACCTGCTTATGTATTTCGGGATGCATATCTTGTTTTTACTAAATAAACGTCACAACTTCAGCTATAATATATGGTACAAGTTTACTCTTTCAGTATCACTTATTTCACCCACTGAAGGAGTAGCAGGGATTTAGACATTTCTACTGAAATTTGTTTTTCTGTGTTATGTTTAGACAAGTTTTAAAATATGCCAGAAAGATGACTTTATGTTTTTGATAATTTGATAATGAGTTTACGGCTAAGTATTGTGAATTACTGGTGTTTCTTAACATGTTTTTAGATTATAAATGTGTTGGCAGTGGATTTCTTGATCTGTTTATCTAACCCCTCTTGGATAAACCGTGGAGTGACAACAAACCAATATTCATGCTAAGGAAGCTTTAATTTGCATGTCTAAAATAGATGAAGCTGCTATGATATCCCGTGTTTGCCATGTTTTCCAAACATGTTTTGGACCACAGTCTTAAGCAGTACTATATTTGTAACTAAAAAATTACCAGAGTTCAAAAAATATAGTATTTTTCATTTCTCAACAAAATTCAATTCTGGGGAGCGCTGTAAGCGTATCGGATGGCACATGGAGCGAAGATCAAACCGATAACGAATTTGGAAGCATTTTAACAAACAATTTATGTTTTTTGGTGAGTTACAAAAAATAATTTCCGACCTGAAATTAATCGATTTAAGTTATTATATATTTATTTGAAGGCAATACTGGTAAAAATTAACTTAAATGGGTTTACAAATTTTTGGCTTACATAAATACTGGCCGATTCCAAACTAGTTGGGCAGAAAAGAAGGATTGAGACACAGATAAGATGACGAGGAACCCACTTTGAGACTATAAAAATAGTGGAATGAGGATGTGCATTTACTTTAGTATTTTAATTATTATTTGTTTCAAATTGGTAAATAAATAACTAACTTCATAATCAAGCATTGAAATTATAATAATTTGTTAATTAGATATGTTTTTTTAAGTAAAAGTTTGATTTATAATGTTAACAATTTCAATACATTTATTGAATTAAATATAATATCTAGAATAATTCAAATATTTCTTGTTGAATAAACAAGTAGAGCTGAGATTCACCAGAAAAATAGGCCTTATCTTAATGTTATCACAGTTTGCATGAAATAAACTGCTTAGTGTTTGCTAAGGGCTATTATTGGTTGTGTTTAAGAAATTAAATCAAACCATTTATTATAAAGTTGTCTTCAAATTTTTACTCGTTAACGAGATAGGTTTAATCCCGTAGTTACTGTTTCACTGAATAAATGAAGTGCATGCGAGACTTTCAACTTATCAAAAATGGTTAAATGTCAATCTTATTTAAATTCAGTTGTAGTTTCAACTCAGAATTTTTCGTGTAACATATATTCCCCTTGAATTTCTTCTCTTTTTTTTCATAACATATTTTAAAAACTAATTCAACGATTTTTTTATTTTATTTTTTCTGCTTTTTGTTAAATACTTGTAGACCTAATATTACTTCCGAATGTAAAAAAGTATACAAGAGTGGAGTAAAGATGGCGTCCAGTAAAATCAACCAATCACAATACTGTTTTTTTCAATGCTGGTTGCCAAAGTCCTGTATAGATGTCTCTGGTTAAAAGCCTTCAGCATGTCGGATGGTGATATTATCGATATATCTGAAGCAGCGATTGTTAAGTGGATTTATTAATCTGATGAGTTCGTTTAATTTCAAAAAAGCAAGAAAACACCTACCTGATGAAGAAAGACTCGTATGGATAGACTTGGAGGTACGTTACAAATAGTTTGGTTTTTGTGTACTCCGACATAATCTCAAATCTCGTGGCTGTAACTTGAAAGTAACTTAGTACAGTTTACAAGTCAGACTAAACTTAAGTTAGGGCGGTAGGCTACTATGCCTAGTCTATTGTGCATGTGTAAACTCGTGTTTTCTAGTTTTGTGCGTTATTCACTTCTCATTCAATCTTTGCGAGCCGGGCAAACAATTTAATTTTAAAAATTCACATTTATAATTTCAGCGAAAGAAGAAAATTTTGCCATACCTTGAGGTACACTTTTGAAACTAATTGTAAAGTTTGATGTGATTTAAATTGTTTTGTATCAAATATAAAATTAACTCGCACAAATTATTTTTTTAATATAAACAAACTAATTTAAGCGAAATATATATATATATATATTTTTTGTTTAGCTTATGGAAACAAAAATTAGATTTAGTGAGGTAACATGTATAATTTATAAGAATGATGCATTTTAAATTAACTCTTTTTCTATTCCATATATATGTACCCACCCAAGTTCTACAGTCTGCACCCACCAATGGCTCAGTAGTAGTTCTGAAGGTTTATAATGCTAAAAATTGGATTTCAGTACCCATGTTGGGCATAGCACAGACAGCCCTTGGTGCAGCTTTGTGCTTAACTGCAAACAAACCAAAAATATTCTCTACACTTAGTAAACCTATAATAAAATATTATCTACACTTAGTAAACCTATAATAAAATATTATCTACACTTAGTAAACCTATAATAAAATATTATCTACACTTAGTAAACCTACAATAAAATATTATCTACGCTTAGTAAACCTATAATAAAATATTATCTATGCTTAGTAAACCTATAATAAAATATTATCTATACTTAGTAAACCTACAATAAAATATTCTCTATACTTAGTAAACCTACAATAAAATATTCTCTATACTTAGTAAACCTACAATAAAATATTCTCT